TTTTCCCTTTCCGAGACCCACGGTCTCGAGATAGCGTAAATAGCCAGACGCGGCAAAGACCCTGTCCCCACCGGGTCGCCACCGTCATCGATGATGATCCGGGGAGCAACTTGGTGCATACAGCTTGGCCATTGGCGGGCACGAATGCGGCCAGGCGGGGCAAGGAATGGTGATCGGGTCCTACGGAGAGTCTTCAGGGAGACAGCTTCGACCGCGTCGATGCATGTGCTGCCGTCCTACAGCACCAGTGCCCAAGTAGAACACACACGACCGACGTCACGCGCATGCAGGGCCGCAGGACACGAGCACGCGCGCCTGCGCAGGCACGGTGGTCCTCTAGATCTGGTTTGAACTCCCAACAGCGGAGGCAGTTGGACGGGAGAACCGTTCTCCCCGCATAATTGGCATCTGTCCCAGGTCGCAGCGCACTCTGATGGTCGCTCGGGCGGCCGGCCGCGGCGATCCCAGGACGGGTGGCGCGTATGTGATGGCCACCGTCGAGATTCGGGGGCTACTGGCACTTTAGCACCTCGAGTCAGCACCTCGCCCTCGGACAGACGCACCCCCCATAAAAACTCGTGCTTCTCCCCCTTCTCATGCTCGACCGTCGGCGCCCATGGCCTCCCCGCCCAGTGACGCAGACCGTCATCCGGGCGCGACGCACGCGGAAACCCGACTTCGCGGCCGCGGCCGCGGACGTCGACGGAGCAGAACCTGGGCCTGAACGGCCGCAAACCACGCGACGAAACGAGGCGAAACAAGCACCTGCGTCCGACTGCCCCCACAGGACGATATCTGCGCATAACGAGCAGTGTCATGCCGACTAAACTCACCGAATTCGAAGGCTTCCGGGCCCATCTCCTGTGGCATCTGCCGGCTGCCAATCGGCCCTGCTGCATGCGCCATGACGGCACTGCTAGGATCAATCCGAGGATGCGCGAGAACAGACCAACTTCAGCGGCGTGAGCGGCACCCCGCACCGACTGCGGTTGAAGTTGACGCGAAGCTCGCGTCTTCGAATTCGAGGTGGACAACGAGCCGAAACTTGAACCCATGGAAATAAGAAATAAGCATCGCGCAGAGTCACAGTGCATCGTGCAGCGGCAACACCATCAGCAAAATCAGAACCGGAATGTATTCGACGACAGCGATTGTAAATTAAATGTTAACATTTCTCTGCATCCATATGTACGTAGAGCGATACCTGAGTGGCTTGGAATTGCAAATAGAAATCAGCATGGTGACAGCATGTGCATTCTCCTGCATACTGTTTTAGCTTTTATAGGTAATTATAAACCGCTTTAACTGTATAATTCTCGCTACCCTTGTGTACTTGATGGGTCTTATAGCGTGATCAGAAACTTATTGTCTTTACTTTGTCCTAGCAGGGCGGCCGGTTAATTACGTAAGTGTGCCGTTGGGAGGCGCGCCTGCCCGAAACTTTACGATCTCACCTTTACCGTGACATCCTGCGCCACCGACCTGTGGCTCTCACTCCCCTCCCCTCCCCTTCCCGACAGCAACACCAACGGCGACGGCGGCGACAACGACGGAGACCGGCAGCACCTTCGATATTTACCATCACACAGCCGGCGACTCGAGCCCGACCAACGACGAGCGTGCAGAGGTGAGGATCCGAGCTGGGCTCTCCGCGCCATTCATTCCACTGTACTGACCGGCTGTTCATTGCATTCCTGTAGGGCTATCATGCCACCCCCTGCAATGACGCAGACGCGTATTTCCATCCATTAGTAGATATATGCGCATATATGCACTTGCATAAGTAGTCTTATGATTGCGCCGTCCTCATCATCTTTTGCGGACACGCGAGCTACCGCCACCCATTTTCTACCCGCTGGAGGACAGTGCGGGGCGGCCTTTGTTCGAGCTTTCACCGCGATCGCGAATGCGTGCGTCCACGGATAGGGGCGCTGAGGTAAGTGACCGTGAATCTTCCCAGAATCAGCCCAACTTATATGATCAACCACCCGGCAATGCAAGTAAAGAGGAAATGGCAGCCGAGGAGTGTCTGAGGAGTGGGATAGAGACAGAAGGGGTATGAGGAGGACTGTTTGCTGTAACACTAGTAGGAACTGTAACTAAATAATGAATAGAATGACTACTTTATCTGCCTGCACCTGACTGTGAAAACTTCATCTTGATGCAATTGAAATGCCAATATGTTATCGTAACGGTAAGCAATTGATTTTTCGATGCATTTTGGGAAGCTTTTTTACATTTGTACACCATACAGCATGCCAATTGTAAATGCCGGTGTTGAATTTTCAAAACCATACAGGCTGTAGATTTAACTAATAATTTGCAATCTGGTGTGACAAGTAACGCCATACTGGCGAAATTTATATTCACTTGTAATTAAATAACTACAGTCCTGGTTTTTTGCTGATGACGATGTGTGCGCAGCGGCAGTGCCACTGCCACAATATGTGTGCTCCTGACCGACTCGGGAAG